GATAACTATAAGGTTATTAACCTTTTACGTAGTATTATTAATAACTATAAAGCTAATATAAATAGCTTATAGCTTTACTAAGATATCTTTTATAGTAGTAACTATTAAGTTAGTTATATTAATTAAAAAGTAAATAAAGTTAATAATATATTCTTTAACTTAGCTATAAGTATATTTAAAATAATAGTTTTTACTTTAGTAAATATAATTCTTAAGTTAGGTAGTAATTTAGAAAAGCTAGTACTTAAACTTTAGGTTTTTACTATCTTTTTTATCCTTAATCTTAGTTAAAATAAAGACTTTAGAGAGTTTAGTATTCTTATACTAGTAAGTATTATTACTAGTTATTAAAAAAGTAAAAAAGTTAGTATATAAGCCTTTAGCTTTTAAACTAGTAATCTACTATTATAGGTCTTTAAAGACTATATAGTCTTAGGTCTTATTAGCTTATTATTACTTTAAGTATTTTATTTAATTATTTAAAGTAAAATTAGTGTCTTTTACTTTTTAAAGTTTAGTCTTTAGTAAAGTAATTATAAAGATATACTTTTTATAGTTAGTAATAAGTTTCTTAGTCTTAGTAAATAAAACTTTTTAGTTATTAGTATATACTATAGTAATAAAGCTAAGTTTAAGCTTTAAGTATTACTAAGTAAGTCTTATAGTAAGTTATTAGTATACTTAGTTATAAAAGTTAGTTAAGTTATAGTAATAAAGCTCTTTAAATACCTCTTAAGTAAATTTATACTTTTTTTTATTAATAAATAAACTAATATTCTTTAGCTAAAAAAAATAATAATACTATTAATTAAGTTATTAATATATTAGCTATAAGTAGCTTAGTTAGTAAATATAATAAAGTCTTTAATATTAATATTTTTAAAAAAGTAGTTAAAGTTAAAAGCTAAGACTTTAGTAAAGTCTTATTTTTTATCTTTTATAAAAGTACTATAGTAGTTAGCTAGTAGGACTTTTATAAAAGTAAAAGTCTTAGTATTAAAAGTAGTAGGCCTACTAGTACTTATAAATTAGGCTATCTTTAATAAAGAAAAAAGGGGTTAATTAGTAAGTATATTATTAGTTAGTATATAATAGTGTTATAAATAAGGTTTAAGAGTACCTATTAGTTAAGGCTTAATAGTATAAAAAAGATATTATCTTTTATCTCTAGAGAATAAAAGAAAGATCTTAGAATAATATTATAGTAGTAATAACTAAGGTTAAATAACTTATAACTATATTACCTAGAATAAAGATTTTAAGATAAAGATAAAAAGAAAACTATAGTAGGGCCTTTCTCTATAGCTTTACCTTTAAATTCTCTATAAACTCTTTCTTAGTTATATAACCTCTAGTAGTCTATACTTAGCCTTAGTAGTCTCTATAGCTAATTAGCTACACCTAGTATAGCTATTATAGTCTATAGTCCTAGTTACTTTATAATATATTAACTTTTTTAATTATAAAGTAGTTTTCTTTAAACTACTTCTTTATATTAATAAAAGATAAACTAAAGTATTCTTTAAGATATCTAGTAATATATAACTACCTTTATTACTTTAGCTAGTATTATTCTTTAGTTATAAGTTAAAGTTTTTACTAGTTATATACTTAACTATAAAAATATTATTAAACTATTTAACTAAAATACTATAAAAATAGTTTATCTAGATATATTACCTTAACTACTTAGATCTATAACTTTGCTTTATAGTAATATATTATATAGTAGTTATAAAAGATAAAGTTTAGTAAGTAATATTTAGTATCTATATTTAGCTAATATATTTTAACTATTATTATTAAGTATATTTAGGCTAATATATAGCCTAGGCTAACTATAAAGCCTAATAAGGTCTTAGCCTACTATATCTAAGCTACTATAGTATAAAAGAAAGCTACTATAAACTTATTTATATCTATTAGTAATATTAGGCCTATAGTAAAAAGTATTATTAAGGCTAATATTTATCTTTATTATATAAGGTTAATTACTAGTTAACTTAAAGGTAATAGTTCTTATAAGGCTTAAGCCTACTTAACTATTAAGTCTAATAGTATTAAGTATATAAAGAAGTAAATAGTACTTAGTAGTTTACTTAAATAGTTCTCTTAAAGGAATAGGTATACTACTAGTAGTCCTTAAGCTATAAGTAATATATATATTATTTACTTTAATAGTAAAGGTTATTAATATACTTTATAAAATAAATAAAAGGCTTATATTATTTAGGCCTATATAAACTAAAACCTTAGTAGGTCTAGGCTATATAAGTAGCTACTTATACTAGCTAAAAATTAACTTAGTATAAAGTATAAGTATTATTAAAGGTAAACTAGTAGTTTATTTTTTTTAGTAAGATCTACTAGTAGGCTAGTATAAAAGCCTAGTAGGCCTATAATTTTTAGTCTTTTACTTTTTAGTAATTACTATAATATTACTATACTTTTTATTTACTTTAGTAATATACTATTTAGTAAAATATTTTTACTTTAGGTAAAGGCCTTACTTATTATAATATCTTTATTTAAGTTAGTTTATTAAAAAGAGATTTTTTTAAAAGTATTTAGTACTTACTTAGTTATATATCTTTCTAGTATAACTAGGTCTTTTAATAACTAAAAGGTTTATAAGTTAGTATAAAATACTAAAATATCTATAGCTTTTATATAAAGCTATATATATAGGTCTAAATATTTTCTTATGTTTTTAATAATTCTTTTTACTATTTAGATATTTAATTTTATCTAAGATAAATTTACTATATTACTACTATTAAGTTTAGACCTTTTTTACTAATTTATTATTCTATAGAAAGGCCTATTACTATTAAATTCTATAAATATAAAGGTATATATATTATTATAAAGGCTTTATAATAAAAAGTAAGTAACTTTATAATTTAGATTTAGCTAAAGCTATATATATAGTTACTATATACTAGTAATTTAGCCTAGTTATACTAGCCTTAGTATACTATTTCTATAAGCTAATTCTTATTTAAGTAAAAAAGTATTTTTACTATATCTTAGTAAAAATCTTTTTTTAAGGTATAGATTAAGATAGTTATACTACTACTTAATATAGCTTTCTTATTAGCTATTATAGATCTAATAAAAGAAGTAAAGTTATAATAAGTAATAAAAAATAATATAGTATAAAGGTAAAGTATAATAGTAAAGAAGTAAAATAAGATAAGTAATAATAAGGAGCTAAATAATTAATATAGGACAAGAGCTAGATATAAGTGTAGGTTATCTATTAAGGTTACTTTTCCTTATAAGAGGTAATAGGTAATAGAATATATACTTCTAGGTATATAGCTAGATATATACTAATAAGGTAATCCTATGTTCTATTTATTTATCTACTATATAAGGCACTTGTCTTATAATAATTTCTATAGTTATATATAATAGAGGGCTAGTAAGGCCTAGAAGCCTTATTTTTCTAACTACTAGTAAAGAAAAGGTATATATTATAGACTAAAGCTATAGTAAGTGTAGTAAGGCTTTATTTACTATAATATATAAGCTAGTAAGGTAGGTATACTTAGTTAGCGCTTAGTTAGTACCTTTGTTTAACCTTATATATATAATGTATATACTACTATAAATAGCCTTCTCTCCTTAGTCTAGATTAATTATATTAAGTTACTATACACTTATTAAAAGGTAGTACTAACCCCTTACAATTCTAGTTATAGGTCTTTTCTAGATATATTTATATAGAAATATATAAAGTATTAAGAATATAGATTCTAGATTCTATATTATGGACCTTTTATTATAGTTATAGTTCTGTTCTATATACGTTTATATAGAAATATATAAGGTATAAGGAATATAGATTCTAGATTCTCTATTATAGGCCCCTTTATTCTAGTTATATTTCTTTTCTAGATATATTTATATAGAAACATATAGGGTATTAAGAATATAGATTCTAGATTTTATTTTATAGGCCCCTCTTTTCTAGTTATAGGTCTCTTCTAGATACGCTTATATTAAAATATATAAGGTATTAGGAATATAGATTCTAGATTCTATATTATAGACCTCTTATTTAAGGGTATAGATTTTCTCTATATATGTTTACAAGGAAGTATAGAGTATTAAGATTTTAGCTTCTAAACTATACCTTATAGCTTTCTTTAATATATCTATATACCTCTTAATAGTATAATTATATATAAGTAAATTTACTATCTTGTCTATAAGTATTAAATTATACCTTAGAAGTATATCCTATAAGGTTATAGTTAGAACCTCTTTAGCTTTATACTTTACTATGTATATCTTAATATATTAATATATATTAAATTAGTATATTTTATATAATATATAGAGCCCTAGGATGCCTTTACTTAGCAGAGATTATCTTTTGCTATTAAAATATATGTTTCCTGTTTCTATATATAGGTACTTATTCCCTTTCTGTGTAAACGCTATTTCCTGTTTCTATATATAGGTATCTATTCCGTTTCCATGTAAACGCACCAACGTGCTTTTAGTTTCTAAACATATTATTTTAAAAAGCAGGTTTTTTTCTAAATTTAAGCCTAATAGTTCGTATTCATAAGTTACACACTGGATCAGGAGCAGACGGCGCAAATCATGGGACCCGCCTGCAACTTGCCATTCAACACGTCCCCAGTTGTGCTCCTTCTAACGGCCGTCATCTTGTCCTTCCGACGCGTGTTCCGCGATCGAGGCACTCCTGCGGTCTATTGTGAAGGACACGGCACAGACAAAGGTTTCACAAACAAGTCAGTCGATACTTCACGCACTATTGGTTGGTTCACCACCCTGTTTCCGCTCTCTCTGCAGGCTCTGGGGGCGGACAGCCGCGTTGACGACGCAGTCATGGCCATCAAGGATGAATACCTGGACACCCTGCAGACAGCTACAGAGCAGTTCACATCCGAGGTACTGGGCGAGCAAATATCGTTCAAGAGAAGTGATATCGAGTTGATTTTCAACTTTGCCGGCCGTCTACAGTCATGGACATTTACGGCCCGGCCGAGGTGGCCCTCTCGAGCGGCAGACCAGTTGCCGTCAGTAAGAGCGGCGCCATCATCCAGGACATTGGCACTCCCGTTGGCTGCCGATACTGGGTTGTCAACCCACAAGATCACGATGAGCTGGTCCCCGTGGGAACCACAGGCGAGCTCCTCATCGAAGGACCCATCGTCGCCCGCGGCTACGTGAACAGCCCCCAGGCGATGGCTGCTTCCTTCATTGACGCGCCTGCGTGGACTCGACATCCCGAGCTTTCGCATATGGGACTTGGCCAGCATCGCTTCTACAAGACGGGAGATCTCGTCACGCAGAAAGCAAGTGACTCCTTTGTCTACGAGGGCCGAAAGGATACCCAGGTCAAGATCAGAGGTCAGAGAATCGAGATGGGCGAGATCGAATATCATCTCAACCGACAGACGAAGGGAGACACGAAATGGATCGTCGACGTCTTTCTTGAAGGCGCAGGCCAGGAGAAAACTCTGGCTGCATTTTTTCAAGTGTCGAGAAAGGATGCCGCAACCCTTCCAGCGTCAGAGCTCGGCGACAACGTCCTCTCAGCCATGCCGAATGCGGCAGAGGCAGCCGCAGCTGCCCTGCGACAAGTTCTGCCGTCGTACATGGTTCCAGAGGTTTTCATTCCTTTGCGGAAATCTCCCGTAGTCGGGCCGATGAAGACGGATCGCAGAGCTCTGCGTGCGATGGCGAGCGGCCTTTCTGCGTCCGATAAATTGTCTTACCGTCTTAACGGACGGCAACAGGACGTCGGTGGCCTTGCACAGCCGAACGCGACTTCTGACGGCGAACTGACAGATCTCGAGTTGTTGCTGCAACGCACGTGGGCTGCTTTGCTCGGCGTTCCGCCTCAGTCGATTGGGCCCCAAGATGACTTCTTCGTCCTCGGAGGCAACTCCATCCGGGCCATGCGGCTTGTGACGGCCTTGAGGAAGTCAAAACACCGTCTCGGCGTCGTCGATGTCTTTAAGCACCCTACCCTGGCAGAGATGGCGCTAAAGATTAGCCAGCTTGCAGGTGGCCGCAAGGGTGGTGTCTTGCAAAAGTCCGCCTCTTTGCAAGCGCATGATTTCCCACACCTCGGCATCCTGGCTAAGACGAGGACGTGGTTAGACTTATCGAATATCGAAGGTGTCTCTTTGGCAACAGATCTTCAGGCACTCATGCTCGCCATAGAGCATCTTCCAGACTGCGGCACTATGGTTGCAACTGTAACCCTTGAACTTCTCGCCGGGCCTTAGAAGAAGAGCCGGGATCTTACTAGGAGGCGAGAAGCTTGCGAGCAAATCATCCGCCACCATGGGATCCTGAGAACAGTCTTCATTCAGAACAAGCAGTCCCTGTTGCAGGTGACGCTGCGGAACCCGCCGGTGAAGCAGATTCATGTGCTATCTACAGGCGAGACGAGCCAGCACCGAGTCTCGGTATCGTCGGATATGCTTGATATCCTGCCTCAATTTGAACTGCACAGCGATGACAGCAGGGTATTTTGCACACGCCTCAAGTTGACCATCCATCATACTCACTACGACGCCATCTCCCTCGGCCACCTCTGGGGTGATCTGAAAAACGCCTATGCAGGGAAGACCATCGCAACGAGGCATCCGAGCTTCCATGAGTGGTCGTCTTACATTGCCAAAGCTGATAGGTTGGCCGAAGGGACAGTTTTCTGGAGAAAATTGTTGAATGGTTCCATGTCTCACCCCTTGGCACCTAGCAGCAACACAAGGCAGGACCAACCCGTATCGGATGTACAGCAGAAGCAACATCTTGCATCATTCAAGATGCCGACCGCGAATCTTGCCAGCCCCAATGGAACTCCCGCGACGGTCTTGAAGGCCGCGTGGTCCTGTGTTCTCTCTCAGGTGCTCGAGAACCGCGACATATTCTTCGGCTTCGTGAGTGCCAACCGCTTCTCTGGCACATTTCCTCGCGGTAGCGCAGAGCAGGTGCCGGGCCCGTGTATCAATCTGGTGCCCATGCGAGCGTCGATGGGCGATGGCATCAATACCATGGCGACTCTCGTCACGGAGCTGCAAAACCAGTACCACCAGTCCCTTCCGTATCAGCATATCGGGTTCCGATCTATTGTAAAGCACTGCACGCAGTGGCCGACGAGTCGGTTCAACTCGGCCATTCTGTTCCAGAACCACGAGGCGATGGGCGACAGCATCAGGCTGGGAGATACCGATTGCGCGATTGTCGGGGTCGGGCAAGGCGCAGACTCTACGGATGTCTGGATCTCGGCGGTTCCGGGGATGGATCAGACGTTCAGCATAGAATTGCGATTTTCGCCAGTGAAGGTGCCGATCGAGCTGTGCCTCTGGATCTCTGGCTGCTTCGAGAGCCTGTTGAACAATCTGTCGGGGTTGTGGGAAAGGAGAATACTTGACATTCATGAGGAGATGTCGCGAGCGGCTGGGCTAGATCCTCTGTCTCCTATTTGGTATGACAGAGACACCGCTAGGGCAGAGGGGGCTGATCTGGAGGATGTTGTTGATAGAGTACTTCAGGAAAAGCATTTTGAGTACCTGTAACGTATAAGGACTGATTCCGTGGCATCTAGATTCTTTAAAGAATAATAAAGCATGCATAACACTTGGTCCTGTTCTTATAAGTTACAAGTCATATTAAAGTATACAGTTGGGTGGATTTAATTTTATTAAGATCTACTAAGACTAAATTAAGACTTTATAAAGACTTTATTTCTTTTACTACAGCTTCAGCGCTTAGAAATGCCTTCCGTTAGGAAAGGATAACTTCTCTATTTGAGGCGTGACCAAGGGGGGAAAAAACCTGTGCCTTGATCTGCCCTCTCCCGCGCTCTGTGATTAGTTTAATCAAAGGTTAATAATCCCCATTGGCTAAAGATCAACACTAGCTAATCAGTGCTCTCGATCTCGGTCGCCACTAATTAAGTGATCAGACAAGCTGACAATGCCCCCCTGTTAACCCGAGAATACTGTGCGCATGTGGTCTGTGCAGAGTCAAGCTGACAATGGATTCACTTTTAGCTAATAGATTAGCAGACAGTGGATTCAGTAATAACGTAGGCAAAAACACAAAAAATAGAGGCAAAAAGCAAAAGGGATAGTCTTGGCCTATCCTGACCTGGAGCATAGCATAGGAAGCAGGGTGGCTTAGCACTATTCTAACCCTCCATAGTAGAGCTGTTTTAGAACTATAGAAAAGGTTAGAAAAAAAGTAAGAAAAACTAGACTTAAACCTGCAGCCTTTAGGCTATTAGGTTATTAGGACTACACTACTTACTACTAGACTATACAGCTAGAAGAATGGAAATTTAGTGTTTAATTTAATCCTATAGAGCCCTTCTGTGTAAAACTAGTAGGTTTATTACAGTTATTGTGCTTAGCACTCTCAGGTAAACTCTATACAGACTACACGCGCATGGTACCCTCGAGGGGCGGCATTGTCAGCTTGTGTGTATACTCCCACTAAGACGACCACAGCTGCCAGATTTGTTCGACCTGTTGTTAGGGTCTAAAACGCAACTTGCCTGCTAGTGGGTCTCAGTAAAATGAGTGTCCCCATCCTCTTACTAAGACAAAACTAGAGCTGATCTCGACAGTAGTAGATGACCCTAACGATGTCATGGTGTTACGACCCAACAGGCTACAGGCAGCTAGAGCCTCACCAGGCCCTGGAAGCGCGGGCGGCAGAAACAGAAAAACTATAGACAGGTCACGTGATTATAAGGAACACCGAGCACTGATAAGATCCTGGCATGAGTGCTTGAGAGATTGACACATGAGCGCTCAGCCAACGCGTTCATGAGCGCTCAAGAGATGCATGGGGCGGCGCTTAGTCACAACAATAGGACTTGTATATAGGATGAACTTGGAAGCAGTCAAGGACAGACTTCCATAGCTTTTCAGCAATCAACTTATGATACATTCTCTGAATACCTTTCAGTGTCCCTTTAGTGATTCACTGACAAGAAGCTATACAAGCTACCCTTACGACTATTGATCATCCGACTGATCACCGAGTGATGAACAAGCCAGCAAGCCTACATTACTGTTACCGAGTATTGACCTCAGCTATACTATTAGCGGAAACCCTACTGTCGGATTACTGACCGTAACACATGGGTATAACTAACTCTATATGTATAAATTATCCGTTATAAGTTAGAAGTAGAGTACTATGTATATCAAAATATGTTTCAGCTTAGCGGTTAGTATAGCAATCTCCCTTTTATTCTATAAAAGATCTAAATGCGTAAATGTTGGCCAAGGGCTATTAGATTGCTCTGCACAATGGGCGGAAAATCTGATTGGAAAGGTTCCTATTTCACGCCTAGGCCTGTTCTCGTTCCCATACACGCAAGCCTTAGATATGTCCACTTTCGGGCGAGGCGGCATGTCCAGTATAGCACCAACAGAGTCGCATTGACTCCATACCACGTCTTGGTTGCCTTTGCCGAGACAGGGACAACCTAAGGTATTCGTATAAGCACGCCAGTGGGCTATGTTACAGTTGAACTAAAAACCAACAGCATCGTATTGACTCCATAGCCTACATGTATTTAAGAATATATCTCTATAGCTCTTTAGTAATCAGTCTTTGAATTGTTTTATTACGTATGTGCGTTATGGCTCCGTGAATGTCGGGTAAGCAGAAACAAACCGACAATGCCACAGCTCAATAGGTACAGCGATACCAGTGACATCCAAAGTACATCCCTTAGATACCATTGTGTCCAACCCCGACGAGCAGCACTTTCCAAGTCGTCTACATTGAGCATGTCAACGCCCTCCTCGGTCAATACCCTCCAGATGTAATCCCTGTACCCAATAGGCCAGTCAGGGATGTCCCAGTACCTGGACTTAAGCCCGCTCTGACTCGCCGCTTGAACTTGGGCCCTCACTTTGTCCCGTTGTTCTTTTGTAAAGCCGGTTCGTACTGATCCAATTGTTGTTTTGAAAGAAGCTGAGGCATAGTATGCATCATTTGCAGACCATAACTGGCTCAAGTTGCTCAAGATCTGGCCAAGGGGCGCTTGGCGGGAGCTGGGAACCTGCGACAACGTATTATCCTGTGCCAAAGTGCTTAATGGCGCATCTATAAAGGTGTCGTGAAAGGTCTCGTAATCGGCGTAGCTTTGATGTTTGTAATCAAAAAAGGTGGCTCGGTCTAGAAGGCCTGTGCCAACGACTGTGATAGGGCCTGGCCAGATGCCCTGCTTGGCAATAAAGCGTGTAAGGAATTCTTTTTTCCGAAGCGGTTCAAGCTGCTTTATCAAGAGCGGCCAGGTGTCGGTCGGATTCGTTTTCACATCAATTAGGAGGATAAGAGCGGTATCCGGCTGGGTATTAAAGACTCCGTGTGCCTGTCTAAATACCGTAATAGGCCTCTGTAGACTTTGGTACTCAAGGATCATTAATAGTGGATCCAGGTACATCGTTTGGAGAGTCCGTTCGCTCGAGAGGGAGCTACGATCATGGCCAACCAGGAGATCAAGACCGTCGTCACTAAGCCAGATATCTGCCTCCACGCTTACACAGCCTGCCGCAAGTGCTGAAAATAGCGGATATGGTCGCCAGTAGTCGTTATGGGAATGGCAATTCCTAGGTATGACTGAGCGGGTGAAATCCGTCAGCCAACGGGAGATGCCATCAACTGGTTTACCATCGGTAGTGATTCCATTATTAGAAATAAAATCATGTGGTAAGTCTACCTTAGTAGAAACAGGCTTGTATATGAAAACCAGAAGATACAACAGAATTCTGCTAGAAGTAAGCACGAGGCTAGTTTGGGGACAACCAGGGTGCAGAGCCTACATTATGAGGGATGTCGCAACGGCTACGCCAAAAATGGGGCCTAGAATATCCGACGTTACGAACCATTCAGCAACCCATCGCCAGATGCTGTTGCACAGGCCCGTCAAAATTCCCAAGGGCTTATGAGCGAGTCTGCTAAAGCTATGAAGTCCTTTGAATTCGCTTCCACGGCTGTCGATTAGCGCCGTAGAGGCGGTGGTCGACGTTGTTGGTGAGTGGTTTGAATGTTCATCGTCGGCCCAATGAAGGCGTCTTTGTCTATCACCCATCTTTGGTAGTGGGTACACGAAAATCTAGTTATAGACTAAGACTGGACAACGGATATAGATTATGAGTTTGGCGATGATTTGGCGAAAACTAATGATTGTACACGTTCTCAACAGCTCGCTCCCCGGCTCGTGTGAGAAGAAAGAGGACTTTTGGTTATTTAAACAGCCACTCCACCGTTATACCTAAACATCCGGAGTCGGCCGAAGCTGGCCCTAGGCATCCCCACGTCAATGACCAAGGTGACCCCGCTTAATTCCTATTTGCTCGCCTGTATTATGAAAATGGTGGGGCTCCTTGGGGCTACAGGTACGATGCGAGGAATATGCATAAGCAGTGGATACCACCTTACCCTGGCCCAGGGTGTACCTACAGGTAGGTGTTAGAGTAAGATAACTAACAGGGGTATTTTATTTCGGCCTGGTATCATAGTACATCACAAAATATGTTATGCACTCAACAGGTGACATAACTGATAACGGTTACACGACTACGGGTCTTCTTTTGCCCATTTTAGTATGCTTTAACCTTTGGGTTGGAACTTCTATTCAAGTTGACGTAGCTGACGATTTTAACTTTAAATTATTCCCAATGACCAGAATGTTCAATCACGTTGATAACGGGAACAGAAAGATCAACTAGACCAGCATATGTATACTGTCCATACTGATGCAATATATGAGTTAATGGCGCCAAGTAGGGCCTAATGGTCACCATTCCTAGAACAAGTTGGACAATTAGAGACTATGTTGATTTATTTGACAAACAAATCAGAATGTACATATATTCTTGCCGATACAATTATTTGATAATGCTTGTGAAATCCAAGCAATCCATACATTTCCTTCAGCGATACTGTGGCAATTTGATCCGCTTGGTACATGCGAATCATGGTGCGATTGAGTGGCATATTGTCTATCGTGAATGGCTTTGACGGAATAAAGAAGGTGACGTATTCAAGAACTGGAAGAAAAGAACCATATTTCTTCCAGAACAAAGTATACAACTCAGGATGAACGTTGCGTTTAGCAACTTCCAATGTTGGGGTCGGCGCTAGTCATGTCAGCTTGAGGAGCACTTTGAGTAACAATGAGACTAGGTTACTTACCGAGGTCTCCAAGCACCCTGATTATCTTCGCCACCGAAGTTACAGTTCAGAATCTGGCTCTGAAGACGGGAGACGCAGGTACCATAGTCGAGTGTACGGCGGGGACCGCCATTATCTCCATTCCTCATGCGAAAGTCCACCCTCACGTTGCCGCCGAGATTTTTGCAGCCGTACTTGTTCTCACCGCCTCCAAACTCAACCCCGTTCCAAGACCTGCATTGGTCCTCGGCAGCTCGGAGAGCGGCGTCCCTGGAGCCGCCCCAGGCCTGGCCACTTCCATAACAAGCAGAAGCGGATGCTGCGAAGGCGAGCACGGTGGTGAGGGAGAAGCGCATGATGAAGATTTTGCTCAAAGTAATATATGAGGAGTTAAGAAGGAGTTGTATTGAGAGTGTGTTCGAGATTGTGCTGATGAGAGGCATAAGAGAGAGGGATGTATTCCCCTATTTATACATTTTGGCTCACCAAATCTACTTCTTCGAAACTCCAAGGATTTGGGAGACGCCAAGCCGGAATGTGAATAGCTGCAGAGGACATGGCACTGCTTCGAGGTTAGTATGTAATTACATGCAGGCCTTCATGATCAGACGTCTTGGAAGTTGTCGGAGTTGTCTGCAGATTGTTGGATCTTCAGGAATGACAGATTTCCTGATGTAGGGTACTGGCACTGCGGGTTGCTGTGCTACATGGGTAGCGGAACTAACTCCATCGAGTTGATGTCGGTGTGCTCGCGGCCATTATGACAATTATTACTGATTCATCAATTTTGTCAAGATTTATCGCGCGTTGGCGACCCCGCTCCGTAGGTATGTCGAAGTTATTCAGGAGATGCCCAACTTTAGGATCTCACATCACAGTCATCACTAAACGATGCTTTCTAATTCAGTCTCGCATAGAGTAGATACGAGATAAAATTTATCACACAATCAGGTCATTAGTTAAAGTTCTTTAAAGTTGGGAACACTAATGAAGGACAAGATACTGTACTTGAAGAACATATCAATACACAGACTGGGGCTTCAAGAAAACAGTACTGATCATTAGCAGTTTTGCTGAAACTAGCTGCTAGAGTCACAAGGTGGTAATCGCTCATATTTTTAGGTGTGGTCATTGAACAATACAAAGTACAGTGGGGCGAAATGATCCAGACGGAATGCAGCCAAGCCTACGCAAGGGCATGAACTATGGTTCTGTCACCTCCGGCCTACCATAATTGTTATGAGGACGGCCGGAAGACTAACTCGTTTCTAGCTAACTACCTTTCGTACTGACCAGAAATATTTATCAATATGAATAAACGGATCATTCGGTGACTCTTCTTGCTTTACCTCTTGCTACACATAAGGCTTGTCCGGTTTCTAGTTTTCTGTGTAGTTACTTCTAAGTTACATCTTCCTAAGGTTTAGCGGTTAAGTGCTTAAAGGGGGACGCCCGGTTATAGTGTTGAACTCAAACTAAGCTTCCTCGGGAATGACTTCCGATTGAACCGTCGACCGATTTGTTCCGATCATACAAAGTATCCACCTTATGTGATTCCCTGTAGCGTTAATTGGGGCAAAGGTTCCACCACTATTCTGGTTTGAGAACTCGTTCTGCAGAGCACCAACACAACCGGCAACCAACCGAACCTGGTAGGCAAGGCCTACTCCACTTGTCCCGCTCAACCACCGTATCCACCTTGTGTGAACCATTGTAGCGTTAACAGCAGGACAGGTTTCAGCACTATTCTGGTTTAGGAACTCGTTTTACGAAGCACTAACACAACCAGCAACCAACCGAAACATTCTAGCCAATCCTTTATGCTAGGCGGATTGAACCAGGTAGGCAAGGCCTACTCCACTTGTCCCGCCATACACTGTATCCACCTTATGTGATTCCCTGTAGCGTTAATTGGGGCAAAGGTTCCACCACTATTCTGGTTTAGGAACTCGTTTTACCTGTACGAAGCACCAACACAACCAGCAACCAACCGAAGCATTCTAGCCAATCCTTTATACTAGGATGTGTAGGGCCAAATGCCACTTGTGGGTTACGTTTTTCCCCCTGATTTAATGAAACCAACTTGTGATTAGTGGAATATTGGACTGGAAGCTTGGCGACTAGGTTTAGAATAGTATTGGGCCTTTTGTTGCATACTTTGTCGAATGATTTCAGTACCTGATATCCAATTAGGTGTTAGGGCGGTCTCAGCCTGACGCAGGCCCTTTTTCGTCGCCAAAGATCAACCGTTCCCACTTCACTTGGCCATTCTGGCAAATGCCCTCCCAATCCATGGGTGTTGTTTCCGCCCCGTCATCAGACCACCTGAAGCTTTTGATCGTTCTCCTACCTGTATCTTCCGGTGGAGCCCAGTAGACAATCTCATTTTGCTCCGCCATCCCACCGGTCATCCTCACTAGTGGCCTCGTATGCTCTTGTTGTTGAAGCTGGGTCGTGACTAAGTCTCGAAGATATGGGTAAAACCACGTCATGTTCCACCAGTTCTCCAGCCTCCATGCTTTTAGCCCCGAGATGTAGGCATTGTGATGGATTGCGACTGGAGCGTTGCCAAAGAAGAAGTCGGTGTAAAGAGGAACATCAGCCCATGTGAGTCCACCTCCCTTTAAAGGGCTGTCTGAGCCTCCGAGATACTGAGGCATATCAGGGACTCTGACTTTGCCTGGTACCCCGGCCTTCTCTGACGCCTTCTGCACAGCCTCTCTGTGTGCCCATTTGACGAAATAGCCATCCTCTTCAGCCGAGCAGGTTGGAGGCATCGTGCTGAAAGTGTAATCGAGGCCGAGTCCAAACTCGAAACGCTGCCCGCCGAGAGCAGCCTTCGCAACCGTCTGGACTTCCCAAGATAACTCATGCAGGCGAACCAGAGCTTGTTTGTTGACAGATGGCAAGACAGAACGGACCCATTCGCGCCACATCTCTTGTTCACCAATGACCTCAGCAATCAAGGCCTGGTCGCTCCATAGTTGGCGTCCCTTATGTGAGACGGTTGCCACCTTCTCTCTGCACCTCCTCAATGCGGCTCTCAGAGGTCCTATTTTGCCCATAATCATCCCGCTGTTCACGCATCGAGGTCGAACTCTCCTGTATTTTCTTGCCGAGTCTGCAGAATAGTCGATCTTGTCTGTTGCTTCCCCATAAAAATCAGGAGACAGTGGTGAGGCTGGCCAGTGGGGGTAGTTGGGACGTGAACCGGATTCCGCGCCGGGTTGGCAATCCTTAGCAGTAGTGATAACAATGTTTTGCTTTGGCGCGGCGATAGGAAACTGGGGATCATAACCGGAATCCATCCATAGGTTTTGTACTCTGGTGTCCGCTTCAAGGTTTAACTTATGAAATCTCTCGAGGAGAGCTGATGGAGGGAGCTGGAACCATATGTCGTAAGCGTCTACCAAAAGCGCAACATCGTTATCAGCGGTGGAGTCTTTCTCGTAGAGCGTATCCAGAGCAACAAGAAGAGACTCAAGCTTTGCAATGTGTGAGCCTGCAAAGTGCCAATCGGGCCGGTTGAACTCTCCGTTCCAGTTCAGAAGGGTAGGCATCGGATAACCGAGAGCCACCGCAGAATGCACGACTTTGCAAAGATTTATGCTTGGCCCATCGGCTGGCATAAATAACCGCAAATGACGGTGGCCATCAAAATCGTCTTCTAGGGCTGAGTAGTTGACCTCTGCAAGCTTCTGATGTATGTAACTCCAGTCCTTAGTCTTGTTGGGCCATCTGTCACCATAATTCTTCTTGAACTAGCCGCAAATAGCATCATCAGTACCTAGTTGCAAAAACACTAAGTGCAAGGCTGGTGGGGGTCTACATGTCCCCTAACAGTACCTCAGCTCAAAGTTGAGAACATACCAGAACCAATATAAGTGTGAGCACTGTAAATGTAAAAAGTATACCGAATCGTGCTCTACGCAATTGGGGTAGCACAATACGCGGTCGCTCAAAACCAGTCATTCTGAAGGGAGACCGAATCATCACTATTGCCCTGGGTATGAAAAAAGGTCACCGGCAGATGTAACGAATCGCTTTGGGAATAAAAGGTGTGCAGGAGAAAACTTTTCTGCCATCATCTGTTCCCGAATAGTAGCCGTAAAGTACGCCCCACAACCTATTCACATCACTCCCAAAAGAGCAGGGTCTGTTATTCTGCCATGCCCATTATGACTATGGGTCTCAGCCATTGGTTGCTCGTAGTTTATGTCGAGCCAAGAATCAAATGTGATTAACGTCTCATTTTCCTGGCACCTTTGCGTATCCTTTCTTTTCTTTGGGTGAGATAGAGAAGGGCCCGCTTCTGCCACTCCAACTACCAACCGTGTGCCTTGTATCCTATCATCCTAGGTACCTATTCTGCTAGTGTATAAAGGACCGAGCATACTCTTACGGGGTCAGGGGGTGTAGTGGGGAACGAATGTCATCTCGCTTGTACCTACGGTTGGTTGAGTGAAAAGGCCCCTGTCGCCATTGCAGTCCCTCCTCGGCTATGCAAATGTTCCTCAGGTATGGCAACGAGGCCCAGTTTCGCGCCCCCTCCTCACATTTTGCCATCTTCATTTTGATTTTCCCTCAACTCACTCAGACTCTCTGTCTCTATCTCTCTATACCTTTGTCTGGATACATCGACCTCTGACCTCTGAATTTTGACTGAGATGGACACAACGAGCCAGCGGGATGACTGGCATGTTACCAGACATCGCATTCGTACCTTCATAGGCTTTGCTTCAATAGGTATGTCCCATCCCCAGCAACCCTCAGCGATATCGACTTGATGGGGCTAACTATCATTTTGCAGCTCTTGCAAACGCTGTCCTCGCACGAATTACCCACGCAGCGAACTACCTCATCATCCCATACCCGCAACCCGTCGTTATTCTGCTGGAGCTTCTCCCAGCAGTTCTCACCAAGTTATTTCTGCCATTCATCTATGGCTACATTCCCCAGAACGCACGCATTGCCCTCGTCACTGGGGCATGGACAGTGGTCAAGACTGTTGTCTCCGCCACGCCCCCGAACGTACTACCTCCCGTACGCGTCGTAATGACGCTGTTAGCTGCCTCCTCCTCAGCTGCCACTGAAATTCTCTGTTTGGACTTGATCCGAGGTTATGGTCGGCTAGGGCTTATTGCCTGGGCTGCTGGCACCAGTCTGGGGCAGATGGCGAATGCTATATGGCCTTTAGTGTTAACCTCATTCATGGGAATGACAGTCAGAGAGGGTACTGAATATATGTACCGACTGGTTGCTATAATCCTGCTGGCTTACTTTGCTATCCTGCCAAGAAACTGTCTTCCGACCGGAAGCGAGACCGACCTGAGCAATCGAGACACTGGGGGCTACAACAAGAACACATCACTTTTAGAGACCACCTCGACATCAAACAAAGTCACCGGAATATTCGGACATCAAATCAGACAAGTGTCCGTTGTTTCGAGACAGTACCTGCACATACTCCTGGCTACCTCCGCTATGCAGGCCATGGTCTTCCCTGGCATATCCCTAGCTCTTGATGGCTCCTCATTTTCTTCATTACTTTCATGGACCTCTGCACTTGCATTTTCTCTCAGTTTTGGTAACTTGACGGCGCGATTATCAGCAATGTCACTTCGTCTTGGAAACCACAGGATTGCTCTGATTCTCTTAGCCTGGACAGTAGCTTTGTTATTGGCAGATTCGATCTTTTTCCTAGGGTCTAGTTTTGTTGTGCTCTCTGTAGCTCTGTGTTCCGGTTTGTTGGGGGGTGCGATCTATGTTGAGGTTTTTGACGGGGTGCTTCAGGCGCTATCCGACCACCCAGACTGTATACTTGCTATTGGTATCATCGGCGCAGGTGATACCCTAGGCAGTTTGCTAGGTGGATGGATTGGATTTCTATGGGAAGCTACAGTCTGCGATATGACTGTAGATAGAGGAAGGTTCTGCCACAGGTTCCTTTGAACTAGAACTGCACTTTGTAACCAGCACAGCGAAGTAATGCATTAGCCTCAAGAGTGTAACTAGGCCACTCTATCAGTTGATCAAAGAAATGATTCCTAGAACCGCAGGAATACATACAGAGACTTGTATTTAATTACGCTGGAACTGATGCGCCTGTTGCCTTGATGAATCAGACGCACAGGTATATATATCACAACGCGAGGTAACTCATCAGAATTGCTCAGAAGTTCATACAAGACCACTTTGTTTGTTAAGGCTTACACCATAACTAACTTCAAAAGCTTCCACAATGGCATCTAAACTGCCAGCTTCTCCCTTGCCTGAAGACAGCGCGCTTACCATAGTAAGTAGCTTAAGACCCCCCCTTAGGACTTAGAGTATTCTTGCTGTCTTGCTAGCTAGAATTCTAGCGTATATGATCTAGAGTGTCACAGGACAGATAGTAGATAGCGGATAAGAGGTGGTCAATGGCCAACTCCACCAGCACGGGTTTATTCACGTGCCCATCGAGTATATAGACCACTGCCACCAGGCCTCCTATTCAGACGAGGTCAACCACGAATACTATCACTACTTTTACCTATCTTTTGTCCTGTGTCAACTGTGCAGATCCTTGATATTGCTTGCCTTACTTCACTGGTTTGCTGTTACGCTTCACTTTTGCACCGCGTCACTTCACGACACTACCGCAGCCTGGCTCCTCCTATTAGATCTGCAACGGCTGGCAGGAAGGCTATGTCATAGACTAACTAGAAGTTTAGGCTGCTACCTCCTATCAACCTAATATAGGTGTTAGATTAAAATAGGGCTAGTATTAAGGGAGACATTATCTAGAGGAGTAGTAAGATAATCTATAAAGGGTCTAAGAAGTTTAAGTACTAGCTATATAGGGTTATATTAGACGTTAGTGTTATTACCTAAGAATCTATGGGCAGCACTAAGCCTTACCTAGGCAGAAGCGTAGGCAGTATAGCCTCTATACTAACAGGACACATAGGATTATTATATAGAAAACTCCCTAGGATTAAAGAACTATAGTACAAGTTATATAATAATAAGATTAAATAAGATCTATATAAAGAAAGCATAGATACTATATACTCAGTATATAGGCACTATATAGGAAATATATAAATACTATAGTTTAGATATATAGCCTTATAAGTTAATAAGAAATATAGACTTATATATAAGATAGACTTATATATAAGATAGACTTAAATATACTTAGAAATAAACTTCTATAGCTCTTTAGTAATTAACTTATAATATATTCTCTAGATATCTTTTAGTATTTAACTTAGTAATTTATTAATAAAAAAGCTATATAAGCTTTTTTATAACTATTAACTACTTAACTAATTACTAAGTAATTAATAAATTAGTAAGCTAATATTACTATTACTAATTATTAACCTTAGCTATACTATTAGTAAAAACCTTATAATCTAGAAACTAACTTATTATAATATTAACCTATTATAGATAAATCTTAAAGTTATTAGGTTAACCCTAATAACTTATCACTAGTAAATCCTTAGATATTTAGCTATAAATTCTCTAAGGATTTATAGGTAATAAGTTAGTTATTTAACTAGCTAACCTATAATAATTATTTTTGTTTTCTACCTATATAATAGAGAACTATAGTTACCTTAGTTATCTATTAATTACTACTAATATATATAGTTAACTATATTAACCTATCCTTTAGTATTACTAATATAACTATAATACTTTAATTACTTTTATTAAGTAAGTTAACCTTAATACTTACTTAATAATATACTATAATATTTATTTTAAAGAATAATACCTTTATATTTTCTATAGATAGCTCTAAGAAAAAGCACTTAGCCTAAGAACTAGTAGAAGTAAAAAACTAAAATATACTAAACCTTAACTATAATAATAATAATAAGGCTTAAATTACTTATATTACTTATAAGGCTATTAAGTATAAACTAAGTAAAAGTAAAGATTATATACTTAAGATATAAATTATACTTAACTAAGCTATAAGTATAAAAGTTTAGTAAACTTAAGATTTATAGTAAAAAGTTAAGATACTTTAGGTAGTAGTTAATGTTATTTTAACCTTTATAAATAAGTATAAGAAGCTTAAACTTAACTTTTCTAAAAGATATAATAGTACTAGTAAATAACTAAAGAGATTTCTAATTTAAGTATATACTTACTAGACCTTTTATATAGTTAACTTTAGGAGTAAAACTAAATAAGTTATCTATATAGGAATCTTTTTATAAAAGAAAGTACTTTTATAGTTTAAACTCTACTTTAAAAACTAAAGAAGTTACTGCTTACTACTTTTAGTAATAGTCCCTTCTAGGCTAGCCCTACTAACTACGCTAGCTGCTTCTATTATTAATATATAACCCTTTAGACTACACTAACTACTACGCTGTCTCTAGTATAATTATAAGTAACACTATCTAGGGCCTTACTATCTCCTACTAGTATACTAAAACCTTTGCCCTCTTTTAATGCTTTTTGTCTATTCTTCTGTTCTTCCTTATATCTAACTAAGCTTATAATTAATAAAAAGAATCTAGCTCCCTAATTAGCTAATGTAATTACTTTTAATAAGTCCCTAGGAAAAGGTCTTTCTTTACTACTTGTATAGCCTACGGCAGTAGCCCTTCTACTAACTAGAAAGCTAGTCTAGAAATTAAGATACTATAGCCTATTAGTTAAAGGTATAGAAACATAAGATAGATGTCTACTATAAACTAATTCTTTAGTTAGAAGATTATAAATAAAATAATAGGTCCTTATAGTAAGCTAGTACTTATTAGTGTACTACTATATCTATAGTTATATTTAGTTATATATATATATATATATAAGTATTATTAGTATATAGGTAATATAGCTAAAGAAGGTATATTATATAATACACTACCTACTAGTAGTATCCTTTATCTTTACCTATATATAAGGGTAGTACTATACTTATGCTCTTACTTTACCTTATAACTAGTAAACTAATAATAATAATAACTACTAATTAACTACTGTTTTTAACCTTTATATTAAATAGGCTTTATATATACATGTACTTAGTAAAACATAGAAGTAAATTAACTTCTTATTAGGTAACTAGATAGGTCTACTTTACTATTATTATATAAAGTAGTTATATATACTACTTAAGTATAATTTAAGTTATTCTAGCTAACTAAAAGGTATAATCCCCTCTTAATATAACTAAGGGCTAAATAACTAGTCTATACCCTTTAACCTTAAATTATAACTATTTATAGTAGACTTAGTAAACAGCACCGCTTAGGTAAGGTTAAAGCTAGAAGCAGGGGAGGCACACAGGAAGATAGGCAGAGAGAGAGGCGCATAGGAGGGTATAAGGAGACAATAGGCAGCAGTAGCCTAGAGACAGCAGCAGCAAGTAGATAAGTTAATAAGATAACTTAAACCCTCTTTATAAATAAGATAAATAGACTAGGCTACTATATCTTTTTTTACTTTAGCTAGTTATATATATATATATATATATACTATACTTTATTTTCTTTATTTATTTATAATAGTAAGTAAGTAAGCTAATAACTTTATAAGTAGTTATATATAATTTCTTTAAGTAAGTATTTCTTAAAGAATATACCTTATAGCCTATAGAGAAAGCACTAGACACTATTAAGTATCTAATATAATAGTATTAATCTTTAGCTAAGTAGAAAAGCCTAAGGACCTCTCCTTAACACTTATTATAAAAAAAGCCCTATAAGGCTTATCTTATTATTTAACTTTAGATAGGCTAGTTAAAGACTAATAGGCCTTTACTTCTCCTAGATAATACTTACTATAGAAAAAGCCCTAGGGGGCTTATTTTACTCTTAAGCTTTACTATATAGAACTTACTAGGCTACTACTACTTTACTAAATTATAGAAAGTAACTAGGCTTAGAAGTAGTAGTAATAGTCTTTATAAATAAATAAAGCTAAAAGCCTTAAGAGGCTTTTAGTAACTTTTAGCTTTACTAAATTAATTTACTAGGCTATTATTTAGTAACTTTTTATTTTATATAACTTATATATAGATTAGTAGTTATAGTAGTACTAGTAGTAAAAGAGTAAAGCTAAAATACCTTAATAAGGGTTTTCTTTAGTATAGCTTAAGGCCTTTTTTACTACTTTAATTTACTAGGCTATAGTAAAATATCTACTTATTATTTTTTTCTTAAGTCCTAGGTCCCTTTTATTACTTAAATATAGAATACTTACTTATAAGGTATTATCTAGTAGTCTTAGTATTATTAGTTCTTTATATACCTAGAGAAGCACTAAGTAAGTATAAAAGAGATAAATAAAGTAATAAAATAAAATAAAAAAAAGTTATTAAAGTAGTCTCTATAGTCTAAAGAGATAAAAAAGAAAAAAAAAGAAAAGATTATAAAGTAAAAAAAAAGAAAAAAAGAAGTAAAAAAGTAAATAAGAATTATATAGTTAGTAGCCTAAGTAATAATAGTTATAAAGTTATAGTAGAAAAAAGAGAGCCTTATATAACTAGGTAAAAAAATTAATCTTCTAAAGATAAGAAAAAATAATAAATAGCTAGTATAATAATATATATATTTTATATAATAATATTTATAACTTATATAGTAAGCTATAATAAAGTATATATAAATAAAGTTATATAGCTTAAAGTTAAGAAGGTTATTATACTTAAGTAGTATAAGTAGATTATTCTAAGCCTATAAAATAGACCTAGGTAAAAAGGTAGCTACTTTTATAGGCTAAGAGGGTAAATAAAAGAGATAAAATATAAAGGTAGCTAGGCTATAAGTAGTAGTAAGACACTATAGTATACTTGCTTATACTATATAAGGCTAGCCTTATCTTAGTATATACTTTAATAAGGTAAATAGATTTATTATATAATTAATAAGGCTTTACTTTAGAGCTTTATTAGTAATAAAGAAGTAGTAATAAAGGTAGTAAATAATATTAAGTATATTAGC